TTTGCAAATAATATTCTGAAAAACAGCAATGAGTTCATCAAAGTAAGAAGCCAAACGACTTCTTATGCCAAATGGATCAATGTAGCCAAGAATGGGGAAATAATCTGCATAATTAGGTCTTCCAATTTCCTCCATAATGTTCCACATGAGTTGCTTAAACTCTTGGGAAGTACTAGACTCGTGGCTAGCTAGTTCGATTGAGAAAAATGTGTTTGATAATAAGTTTAAGGAGGTGGTGAATGCTGCCCTCCCTATGTTAACGGGTTGCAATTTTTAGAACAATCTTGCACGTATGAAAGAAGTTGTATTACCTTGGCTTGCCTTAGGGCTTGGCTAGCATCAAGGCGATATGTTGAGAGTAAAAGAATTGCAGAGATCTTTATGAGATTCCTCCATTGTGGAGATATAGGCAACCACGACATGGAGAGTTTGTCATGGTTGCCTGCTCGAACGGAATCAGGAATGGTTCGATTTGCAAATGCTTGGTCATTTTGTAGAAACATCTCTTTAGCTACATAAGAGGATGACACAACAATTGTTGTCACACTTCCTAGCTTTAAGCTTATCAAAGGGCTTAGATGGCTCGATCAATGCTCCATCTCCTCCATGTACAAAGTCCGATTGGACTGCAATCAATGCCATGCTCATCTCATGGATCACTAACACCATAGATCCCACTTTGAAATCCACCTTAACCAAATTTAGAGAAGCAAAATCTCTCTAGGATCACCTTAAACAACGGTTTTCTCAAACCAATAGACCTATCATTCAACAACTACGTTCCTTGATTGCGAGATGTGACCAACCCAAATCCATGACAGTTTCAGAGTAGAGGTGATCATTGGGCGGGCCGGGCCGAGGCTAAAAAATTTTGCCCATTTTTCGGGTCGGGCCAAACTTCGGGTCGGAAATTTTGTGACCAAACCCGCTCAAAGTGGTCGGGCCGAACGGGCTTTTCGGGCCGGGCCAAAAAAATTAACTAAAAATGGATAAAAACGCATTCCCAAACCCGCCCAAAAAGAATAATTTTTTGGGCCGGGCCAGAAAAATATGCCCAAAATCGGGCCGGGCCAACTTTGATCACCTCTATTTCAGAATACTATGGCAAATTACATACTCTATGGCAGGAATTGGATAGACACGAACCTATAATTTCGTGTTCTTATTATGTGTCTTGCACCGCCAGCAAACAACACGAGGAACGTCGTTCCCAGTCACGCCTTCACCAATTTCTGATGGGTTTACAGGCGGAGTTCTACTCGTCCCTGCGCACTCAGATTCTCTACCAAGATCCCCTTCCAACCATAGATCGAGCTTACCAATTGATAATCCAAGAAGAGCGAGTCCGTTTAGCCACAAAAGAACCCGATTCATCAATCACCGACGCCGTTGGCTTCGCTATGTCAACCAGTCTGGAGGCGGCGACTGGTTCAACGCGTGGTAGAGGCCGGACTAGTGACAAACCGGTCTGCACCAGGTGCCGGCGAACAGGGCACGAAGCTGCAACTTGCTGGGCAGACAGTCAGACACCACCTGTAATATTTGTAAAAAGAAAGGCCACCCAGAATCTCATTGTTTTGATATTAAGGGTAAGCCCAACAACAACAAGAAACCAAGCCCAGGACGTGGACAAGCCCGTGCAAATATGGCTGCCAGCCCATCTCAAACTCAGATTGGGCCTGCGTCTACCAATTCCTCTGCCAGCAGTCTCTTCACACTGGAACAATGGAAGGCCATTGCGGGCCTTTTCGGTAATTCTCAAATTCCTAGTTTGACCGATAAGTTCGATATTTCTTCTTGGATTATCGACACCGGTGCCACTCATCACGTCACTGGAAATAGCTCTTGGTTATTCGATACTCAAAATTTTTATTGTCCCATCGGTTTACCAAATGGTGCAAAAGTAGAAGCTACCTTCATGGGTTCTGTAAAATTATTGAACAAAATAATCCTCACCGGAGTTCTTTATGTTCCGCACTTAAGTTGCAATTTACTTTCGGTTTCTCAACTTACCGATGATTTACACACTATTTTCCAATTTTATTCTAATGTTTGTGCTATACAGGACCGAACGGAGGAGCTGATTGGAACAAGAATTAGAAGAGATGGACTATACTACTTTAGCAAACCGGAGTTTGTGTCACAGGTGGACGCTACGTCAAACTTGGAATTATGGCATCGCCGACTTGGTCATCCCTCTGATAAAGTAGTTAAGTTACTTCCGCATGTTCATAGTAATAAACATCACGTAGATAGTGGTTGTGAAGTGTGTCCGTATGCTAAGCATCCAAAAAATAAATTTTCTTTGAGTGAAAAAAAAGCCTCTAGAATATTTGAGAAAATCCATTGTGACTTGTGGGGCCCATATCGATCATAAGGGCCCTGGTAATTTTCAAGAGAATACGATTTTTTCATTCAGCCACTCCATTTTGTTGTGGGGTATCGGTATAGGTAGTTTGGTGTAGCATGCCATGATCAGAGATAAATTTTTTTCATATCTAATGTAATGTATTCACCCCCATTATTAGACTGTAAAATTTGTGGTTGGGCTTGAAATTGAGTAATAAGCATGTTATAGAATTTGACAAAGATAGTATTGACTTCAGACTTATGTTTCAAGAAGTAAACCTACCTCATGCGAGTGCAATCATTCACAAACAAAACAAAATAAGAAAAACCATGGAGGTAAATTCTGGGGCAGGACCCCATACATCAGAATGTATTAGGGCACATGGACGAGTGGTATGGGTCATACTAGGGTAATAGGAGTGTTTGTGACTTTTAGCTAGCACACAAGTTTCACAATCAAGATTAATGGAGACATTCTTAAGAGAAGGAAACAAGCGATTTAAATAGCTTAAAGAGGGATGACCTAACCACCAATGCCACGTCTAGAGTTGATGTTTAGGAGACCCATGAGTAAGCATAGCCTGGCCATGTTAAGTTGTCTCATCCACATAGTATAAGCCTCCTCGTTCCGTGCCACGTCCAATGACCGTCCCGGTTTGAGCATCCTGCACAAGACAACCATCAGAAGTTAAAAGAACAGTACAATTGAGTTCTTTAGTCAATTGACTAACAGAGAGTAATTTGTAAGAGAGACAAGGGACGAGGAGACAATTTTTTAAATGTATAGAGGAGGAAATATCAACAGTCCCGGCTTGAGTAACATCAACACATTCCCCGTTGGCTGTTTGAATATGGGTTCGGTTTGTGTGAGTGGGAGAACTAATATCGAAGGGATCATAAGTCATTGTGTCGGTTGCCCCGCAAACGAAAATACAAGGAGACGGGGTATTTGTACAAAGAAGGCCTAGTTTTTCTTTGGATTGGGAAGAAAAAAGGGTGATTTGGGCTGTGTCGTTATGGGTTAAATGTGAGCTGGGCTCGCGAGTCATGGGGGGATCCGTTAGCTTGGGTGCGTTTGGGGTATTTATGAGATGGTAGGGTTAAGCATTTTCCTGCCTTCCTATAAAAACACGTTGCGGGTTTGGTGGGTGAGTTCTTAAAATCGGTAAGGATGGTTTATGGTGGTAGCTAGGTGGCCGAACTTGCAGCCATAATTCCCCCTTTCGCCACCCTCTGTCTGGTGGCTCTTTATCGGAAGTTGTAGCACTGGCTAGATGTGCCTTGCCGCCGGTCTGGGTTGCCAGTACCTTGGCGGCGGCCATCCACCGGTGAGGAAAAGCCATGCTTTGCCGGAAGGTAAACGAGCTATATGGTAGGGGTAAAGGTCAAAATCTGGGTTGTTTTTGCCGTGTGAATTGGGTTGTTCTCCCAATACTGTTTATGAGGTTTTTAATTTGAAAAAGGTTTCCGGTTTCGGAGACTCCATTGTTGGGGTTTAACCATCTGGGTTGCAACAATGGAGTCGGTGATGTCAAGTGGATACCATTTTCCATTTTAATTAGGTAAGTTCTTTTCTTTGGGTAAATGATGAACGCTGATATGGTGGTCCGGTGAAAAGTCGCCGGAAAATACCATCGGCTCTGATACCATGATAAAAGTATAAATGCAGAAATAAGAGTGTTGGGTTTGAATACTTATTTTGTATTGAATAATTATGGTGTTATAGTCCTATATTTATATACATGAGCCTAACTAGGGGTGTACACCGGTCCAAAATCGGACCGGACCTGGACCGGACCTGTTTGGACCGGGGACCTGAATTGGGTAATTATGAGGACCGGGCACCGGACCTGAATTAACAGGTCCGGTTCCGGGCTAGACCTGAAAAATCAGGTCCGGTCCAGGTTTGGACCTGAATGGACCTGTTTTGTGATTTTTTCGTTTTTTTTTATTTTTTTTAATAAAAAACTTGTTGGACCTGCGTATGGACCTGTTTTGTGATTTTTAGACCTGTTGCATAATTAAATAATTACATACAAACCAAAATTATTAATCACAAAAGTACAAAACTACATAAAGTCTATAAAAGTATAAAGTCCCAATTCTCAAACACCAAAAATACCAAAAAAAAAAACATAAATTCGATATGAAGTACTTTTGGCTATCTGAAACACAGGAAACACTCTCTTATTATCCTTCATGCTGCGCCTATAACACTCTGCCATCTTGGAAGCCCTTTTCTTTTCTCCAGGTTTAAGATCCCGCCTATTCGATATGAAGTACTTTTGTTTCCACTCCATTGTCACGAACAAACTGTTTCCATCCATCTGTAAACACAAATGGCCTTTCATCATATGTACTCGAGAGTCTGATTTTCCATTTGTGTTTACTTGGCGCTATAAGTGTACACCACGGGGAGAGTTTCTCCTTGAAACACTCCATGAACTTCTGAGGAATATTCTGCAAGAAATGTTCACCAAAAAATTCAATCAAGTGAGCTAATATATATTAATAATATAAGTGCAGTTGCTTTCATAACACTCCATGAAGCATACCTGAATACAAATGCCTAGTTAAGCATCATCTTTGAGAATGAATGAATGGTTAATTTTTGTGTTTTAAAGCAGTTTTTAGGAGATCCAAAGACCTTTTTTTTTTATAAATGCAAGATCATTAAAAAGCTGATCTTGTTAACATAAATTCCGGAAATTTTCATGACATCGTTAAGAGAAGTAAATAAACCAATTGAAAATATAAGCAAATAACTAAGAGTATAGAAAATCATCTTGAATAGACACGGATAGAGCACAAAACAAAGTAGGGAGGGTGTCTCTTTTTAAGGATGCTCAGTATTCATTTCAAGACGGTACAAGTTTCATTTGAGTAGGCAAAATTTAAGACAAAACCAACAACCTTAACCTAGGACCTGGGTTTTTCCTTCTTTTCCTTGAACAGAGCTAGAAGAGAGACACCAGCAACCTTGACAACCTTAAATCGGACTCCAGGAATATCTCCCACAGCATGTCCTTTACGACCAAATCCAGCAATCAACACCTCATCCTGCACAAACCACATTTTCTTAGTATGGAAGGAAAAACAGAGCTAGATAATATCAATTTCAAAGTCAAATACAATATAATCAGGTAACAAATATTAGACAAAATTCCACAAACTTCTGCATGATCCACAATTTCAGCATGAATCTACACCCAAACACAACATTAAACTACATACATATAACAGAAGACCTTGACTTCTTTTACCAATCAGGTAACTTCTTTAGTAAAAGGGAACAGTTTATCGTTCTTTGATAAGAAGTATGAATTAGCATTATCTTAGAACAGCTTTTTCCAGATGATTTGCTTATGAAAGGATAAAAAACCAAATGTGTATGACTGATCTTAATTGCTCAAGCTATATACTATCCACCGCAATACTGTTATGATAGTCTTAAACCACAAAAATAAAGCTGCACATGTACTGAACAGGAGTGGGTGCAGGAGTACTGACAGAAGAATCAGATAAACCAGCACAGAAAGAGTGCGCACTATCATGTTTTATATGTTTCTGGATAAACTGTTATCAAGAGTTTATGATATGAGTATAAGAAAAGCATTGTTACTAATGTTAAACCTTCAGTAATCAGATGCCAGTATTTCTCCAAAAAATCCACAACAGAATTGACATTATTTCTACAATGGTTAACAAATAACTGGAGTTGTTTAGACTTTAAGAGTTTCTACAAAGGTTAACAAATAATTGGAGTTGTTTAAACTTTAACAAACAACATTATTTCTAACACGGTTAACAAATGACAGTTAACAAACTGCTAGTGTATCACTAAGTTTGTGTTGAAAGGCACAAAATACCAGCAAATTCACAACCAAGCAATTTATGAAACAGTAAGTGCATATATGCTTGCAGACATTAATAGAACGGACTTACATTTTCCTCAATGAAGTTCAAACAACCATCATTGGGCACGAAAGCAGCAATCTTTTTTCCATTCTTAATCAACTGCACACGAGCACATTTTCTGATAGCAGAGTTGGGCATTTTTCTACAATGATAAGTTTATGCAACAACGCTTATATAATGACTAATAACATAGAATTTATGCATCCGAATGCATAAAATTAACTATTCAATTTGAAGCCATGCCAAAGGTCAATGCAAAGTACTAGATAAACACTAGACTACTAGATGTTTACAATCTAATCACTACTTTCTCTGCTCTTCTGATTTTATTAAACCCTAAAACCCTAAACTTTAAACTAAAAAAAACCAAAAAAAAAAACATAAATTCGAAGATAAACCATACTTGTTATCAATTCTAAACATTAAACCCTAAAACCCTAAACTTTAAACTAAAAAAAACCAAAAAAAAAACATAAATTCGAAAGAAATTCGAAAATAAACCAAAAAAGAAAAAACATAAATTCGAAAACATTGAAGTAAAAAAAAGAAATTCAACATGCAAACATCAAATAATCATTATAAGCAATTGAAACATGAATAAACATATAAATTCTAACACTTAATTCATTATTTCGAATACAAAATACCCAAACATAATTAGATAATTTAGATTTACATTAAAAAAAAAATAACTTACCGGAGAAATGGAAAATCGCGCAGTAGCTGTCTCATGCGGTGGTCGGTGGGCGCCTGGGCTTCGCCTGAGAGAGTGAGGAAGGCAGGAGGTGTCGGCGGTGGGCGTTGCCGCGTTAGGCTGAGACTGGAGACAGTGAGCGTGACTGCGTGAGGGAGAGGGGGAGACAACCTGTTTGTTAGGGTTAGAATGAAATGAAAGAGAATTCAAGCGTCACTCAAGCAGCAACGTTATTTTGATTTTTGAATTTTTTTTTTTTTTTTTTTTTTAAAAATACAATTTTTCCGGGTTTCAGGTCCGGACCTGAAAACCCCGGGTTTAGACCGGGTCCGGACCGGAACCGGGAACCTTGATTTTTAAGGACCGGGACCGGACCTGAATCAACAGGTCCGGGTCAGGTCCGGTCCGGATCAGGTCGGTTCAGGTCCGGTTTCAGGTCCGGTCCAGTTTTTGTACACCCCTAAGCCTAACAATATATGGAAACTAAGTATACACAAAATCCTCCTATAATCAAGGAGAATAATTCTATATTCCTAGAATGAGTCAAGGGAATATTTCCCTGTTTACTACTCTAATGTGAAGGTGAAGCTGCATTTCGAAGCCCTTGCAAAGGTTGATGGGGATAAAGTTCTTTTGGAGGATACAATGGCTCCTAGTGTGTTGCAGGGCAATGTAACAATGTCCAAAATTCCAGTAATGTATCAACCATCAAACCCTTTTACCATCATCTAATGTATACTACATACTCTCAATTATAAAAATACATCAATTAGTTGTAGATATGAGATTGTGCGTTCCCCTGTTGGGTCCATGGATGTTGTGTAGTTCAACATGTAAAATTTGGATATACAAAGTACTTGAAATTCAATTATATTGCTAGTTCTCCCTCCTTTTTTAGTTTTTTTTTTCCACCAGAAGATCGGCTGGCCACCAGCAATCTGAGTGGGTTGATCTTCCTCCTCGGTTGCTTAAGAAGCCCCTAACCTGCTGCAATAATCCAAAGCCATTGCGGCCTCCATATACTCTACTCCAGTATCTCGGTATGCTTATTAGTGTTATCTTTGGTCGATTGATGGCTATGTTAACCATGCATGTTTGGTATAAATAGTAGAGAATTTACGTCATAATTTTTTTTGAAAATTTTATACTGGTAGAAAGACATGTGAAGTGAGACCAATAGCTAACGTGACTGACACTCAACCCAATTATTATTTTATTTTTATTTTATTTTTATTTTTATTTTTTTTTTTGTTGTTGTTGTTGTTTAGAGAGCCATAAGGGTATGAGTGAGAATCGATCCCAGGATCTTTTGAAATCGAGAGGAAATCTCTAACCACTTGAGTTATCCCTCACTCTCACTAACCCAAATTAATTCATTGTAAAAGACACATTTATTTTGTAACTAACATTTAATGGTCTAAACAAAGAGGCTTATTAGTTACTTCGTATTTCATATCTAACTTTCTCTCTCTAAATAATCTTTACCGCTTACTACCACTTTATATAATTCCTCCGTTTTTTTTATTGCATCATGGGGTTTTGGGGGCAAAATTTGGTAGTGAGAAAAAGTAAGAGAGAGAAGCGTAAAAATACAAAATTGTCCATGTAATGTAAGATAAAATAAAAAGTAAGTGTGAAAAAGTAAGAGTATGTTGGGTATTTGCAGTGTGAACATAGATATTTTTTATCCTAAAATGAAAAATTGATGCAATATTTTGTAGAGTTCCCTAAAAATCAAGTGATGCGATATTAAAAGAACTTAGAAAGTACATATGTATTATATACGTAGTATATATTTTTGATTTGTTGTATCTAATCACATAATCCAAAGCTGTTAATGTCACTCCATTATTAATATAATGTGTTGTCAATTTTACAAGATATGTGTCAATCATACAAATATGATGTATGATTGGTATGAAGATATTACCCTATACTTCCTTTCTAAAACCTTTGCTAACCTTATGTTTCTATTATAACCCTTGCCTTTCATTAATCGTTAGCTAGTTGTACTTCTATCCCATGTAGAGATTCAATTAGATCCACTAAATAAAAGCAATTCATCAATAAGTACGTATGTAAGTTGTGCTTGATAGAGTGACACATATATGTGGGAGGTGTCTGAATTTAATCTACTTGCATTGAGTTACATGACATATACTCAATCAAAAATTAATTCATCGTAAAAGACAAACTTAATTTGTAAAGCACTCTTAATGGCCAAAGTAAAGAGGCTAATAAGATAATTCCATATCGGGTTAAAGGACCTGCAATATGATGCATGATTGGTTTGACGATAATATTACATTGTGTTTTACTTTCTAAAACCTTAGCTAACCTTATCTTTCTATTATAACCCTTGCCATCCATTCAATCTTTATCTCGTTCAGAACTCTTCTATCCCATGTATATATATATTTAATTAGATTCGATAAATAGTCACAATTCAATAATTACAGTGTGCTTGACAAAAATAACATGTATGTGAGAGGTTATTCAATTTAATCTAATTGCATTGGCTTATGTGACATATACTCATATGTATACTGAATAGAATCTCTTTCATCCTAAGGCTTCCATCCTCTCCCCTCCTTCCTCTCTCCAAAACCCTAGCCTCCATTGTTGAATTTTGAAGGGGCTTCCATCGGTTTTAACCGGTGGAAAGCCCCAATCCTTGTTTCTTTAAAGTTTTTTTAGGTTTATAATAATGCTTCCTCCTTTTGGGAGAAATTTTTCTCCCTTGAAAGAAAGGGTTTCCGATCTCCTTCGAAAGACAAGGGTTTTTCGACCTCCTTCGAAAGACAAGGTTTATCTCCTCTTTTCGGGAGAGGAATTTCTTAGTTTTGAATCCATGATATTAGATCTAATGGATTGTCGTGAAATTATTTCGTTGATGAAAAATTTATCAAGTTTTCGAATACAGACATATGAATCAGAAGGAAAACATTCTCACGGCTACAAAGGATCGCTAGATTGTCTTTCCAACAAGGCTGAATTTTCCAGTGATATTAGCGGGAGATGTTCCGCAATGCAAGATCTACTTGACGATCGTAGTTTTTATAAGGGAAAATTTTATTTGATTCAATATCTTATGTATTTGTTAGCGTCGAATCTTTATTGTAGATGTCGTATGACTTTTAATTAATGAAATATTTTTGCTATTCAAAAAAAAAAAAGTGACATATACTCAATTATTAAAAATTAACTAGGTTAGGTCCCGTGCCATGCACGGTAATTCTTAATAACTATTTTTAACATTAATAATGAATTTTTCTAAAATATTATACGGAGTAATGAATTTATTATAAAAGAGCCTATAATGCATTTAGTTATTATAAAAGAGTTTATTAGCTAGATAGCTATTTTTAAAATACATTTGACAATATGTGTTGTTCATATATTTTTCATCCAAATTGGTACAGATTTCTTGTTGTTAACCAAATGAATTTCTTACAAATATTGTACATTGCACTCTGTAGTCCATATGTATGTCACAAATTATGTAAAGAAACTGCTTTTTTTCCCCTTAAATTTATAGTTGTTACTTGTTAATATTTATTTATAGAAGGATACATCAAATCTTTTATATTAACTACTTTTTTAATATTTGAAGTTCAAATTACTTTCTTAGAGGTTTAAACACATAATTAAATAAAAAAATAAAATTATTGTTATAATAGGTAGTACATAACATTCTAGCACAATTATGTTAAAAATCTGATTTAATATTTATTTTTTTTTACTTAATTTTATATTTTTCTCAAAAAAATAAAAAATATATAGTTGTCAATGTATATATTATGGAAAGACATATCAAATCTTTTATTTATGTATTATTTGCAATATTTTTCATTTATGTATAAGATTTGTCAAATATTTTATTTATGTTTATTTTGCTATCTTTTTATTTATGTATAAGATTTGTTTTCTAAAGATTATTTAAAAAAAATTAAAATAAGAGACACACCAGAAAATGACACGTGTCATTGCTGGTGTGTCTTTTAGTATATAGTTATTGATTCATTGTAAAGGACACTTAATTTGTAAGTTAGCAACATTAATGGACAAAGTAAAGAGGCTAATAAGTTAATTTCATATTGAGTTTAAGGACCAATATGATGCATGATTGGTATGAATATCTTTCTATTATAACTTTTTCCTTTGTTTTAATCTTTATTACGCTATAGAAATCTTTTATCCCATGTCTATATATATATATATATATATATATATATATATATATATATATATATATATATATATATATATATATATATATATATATATATATATATATATATATATATATATATATATATTTATTTACGTTGATCTTGATAGAGTAACATGTGTGTGATGGGAAGTGTTTGAATTTAATCTACTTACATGACATATCCCCAATCAAAAATTAATAATTTATTGTAAAAGTCACACTTAATTTGTA